CGTTTCGATTTTTAAATTAATTCTGAAATTTTCCTTTAAAAAATTTCGATATTTACGAAATTTCATAAATTATGAATCAATTACGAATCGATTTTGAAACAATTACGAATCGATTCGTTAATGGCGGGCGCGATTGCGCAATACGCTAAAAAAACCTCCAAATGGGACAGGAAGCTTCCCTCTCCCTCTGTTGTTGACTGTTGGTGTGATAATTTATTTTTTTTTCACTGAGAAAACAAACAACGACTATAAAACTTGCACCAGACATGCGGAAATAATAACGAAACGATTTCGAATCAATTATGAATCTATTTCGAAACAAATACGAAACAATTACGAAACGAATTGAAAAAATTCATTTCGTTTTTTAGTTGCTCCTGAATGGTTCAATATCGCTTCGTTATAAAAAAAATAACGAATTAATAACAAATTATGAAATTAATGAACGAAACCGCCCAGCCCTAATATAAACCTCACTTGCCTAGTTTCCAACAGATCTCACAACCTCTGAGGATGCCTGCCATAGATGTGGGAGAAATGTCAGGAGAGAATGCTTCTGGAACATAGGCAGACAGCCCAAAAAACTCACAGCAACACAGTGATTCTGGCCATGAAAGCCTTCGACAACACAAAGACAGTAACTTTTGTACACAAATCACAATATGACATACTTAGGTCAATACAGACAATCTTATTATTCTACGAAAGATCTCCTTTGGACTTGATGATACTTTGGGGTGGTCCTGTTTAGATTGCAAAAATGTTCATCACTTCCCTTCCCTTCAAAATAGGTCAGTTTTGGGGTGCATGGGCTCTTTGTTTTGATGTTTGGGGCCCTGGCATGTCTTTTGCTGAATATGATGGTGCTGCCAGTTGTGGCTCTAGAAGAGGATGAAACAAATCCATGGAGGAGAAGTCATCTCTTGGTGGTTAAATAGAACAGTCCAAGCGGAGAATCAGTTTTCCTTAAATATTTGGTTACAGGAGTCATAGACTGTTATCTTTGCACCTTGTCTGTGCATTTCTCGGAGAGATGGCTGACCAAGGAAAAGCAAGCTGGACAAACAAGATTACTGATCTAATTCATCAGGACTTTTTGTCTTCTGTCCATATAGGCCTCCCCAGCAACAACAACAGCAACAACCTCTCTGTTGAGGCTGTAACTAAGGGGTGGGGGTGAACTCAATCTGCTTATGTATATGCCATACAATAAAATTAAGAAATAATAAAAAATAACTAGACTATAGAATGAATACATACGGTATATAGACAATACAAAAAAGAAACGTGCCTTCCAATTTCCTTTTTGATAGTTGTGCTTACAGATGGTAGAATCACACTTCCCTCTCCAAAAACAACATTGTACACTTCTTCTGATAACCTTGCTAGTTTTCAAAACCAAAAATTATAAGGCTATTTTTCTTGCTTTGTAACCAATGCTTTCAAATGAATGTTTCCTCCTCTGCCTTTTTGTGTTCCTTGTATCTCCCAACAACTCAGGTGAAGAACGTTGTCTCATTGTCAGTGTTGAAGCAAAATTCAATTATAAGCTCAATCGGCTTTTGTGAACATAACTGTGTGGATTGGGACCTTGACTTTACCCTCAAGCAATAAAATTACCTCGGGCCAACCCTGATACTTGTTCTAGGAGAGGGGAAATCTACTATAGGAGGTGAGCCCCACTGAAATGAAATCAATGGCAGCCACTGTTGACTGGAGATTTCCAGGAGTTGTAATTCAAAATTTTCTGAGTTCCTAGATGCATACAAGTTCTTTGAACAATTGCAACCTCAGCACTTTTTCTAGCCTTTCTTGTTGTGTTTTTCCCCCTTAGCATTATTCTTACAAGTGACTATTTTGTATCTAGCTTTGGTTGATGAGACTCAAGATCATGACAGTTTTTGCTAAATCAGGACAGTTGGGGAGTATGGTATGATGCCCGCCTGCTTGAAATCTATATTGGATGACATTCCACCAACTTCATGCAATTGGCAGAAGCAACCATCCAGGGCCTGATTACTATTGACACCATATTCACATGAAATTACATATAGTTGGACTTGGGTATCCATGGATTTTGATATCTATTTGGGGTCCTTGAAGTGAGCCTTAGCAGAAACTAAAGGCCCAAGGTACTTTAGACAAGGTGACAGTCTACCTCTAGGCTCGATTTGCTCTTTGTCAATGCCTGTGCTGAGGTCTCACTGAAAGCATTCTCAAAAGCCGCTAAGACTGACATCCGTAGCTTCTCCCTGAAGTCTTGACCCACGAAGACATACAAAAAGGGATTCAGGCAGCTGTTGAAGTATGCCAGGCCTGAAGCCAAGGACGTCCCCACCATGAGGACCATCTCTAGCCAGGGCGTTACTGTAGAGACTGACATTTCCAGGAATGAGAAAAAGTGATATGGGAACCAGCAAATGAAGAAGGCCAACACTACCGCCACCATGATCTTGAAGGGCCTGCTTGAGCGGGTGAGGCGATTCCCCTTCAGCTTGGCCATAATAATACCATAACAAATCAGGATGATGGTGAATGGCACCAAGAAGCCAACCACAAAACGGGTCAACACCATGGCCTGGTGGCGATGCTCACTCAACTCATCAGCTTCCTCAGACTGAAAGTCATCAGACAAGGCAAAGTTGTTGTAACAGTGAGTGATGTTCTCTTCAGAAGGAGAGGGCCGTGTATCTCGAAAAACAAGGTACGGAGAGCTGAGAACCAGAGCGGCTGCCCAAATGCCCACAGCCACCAGAGATGCCAGTTGAGGTGTGCGGTAGTTCTGACCCCAGACGGGGCACACTACAGAGACACAGCGATCCATGCTGATTATGGTGAGGAGGAAGACACTGGCAAACATGTTGAGGAAGGCAACAGTGCTGCTGAGCTTGCAGAGGACCTTCCCAAAGGGCCAATGGAAGCCCAGAGCCAAATAGGTTGCACTCAATGGGAGGAAGAAAGTGAAGACAAAGTCAGCTATGGCCAGGTTGAGGAACCAGACAGTATTGACGGTCCTCTTCATACGGAAGCCAGTGACAAAGATAACAAGGCCATTTCCAATCACTCCCAAAAGGAAGGCAATGCTGTAGATCACCACGGCGAGTAGATGCACTGAGTCCCGGAGACCTGCATGGTCATCGTTATCAGGATAGTCTTCATTGTCTCCATACAGGCTTTCTTCAGAGGTGGCATTGGTGTCCATTTTGGAGGAGGAAAACGTGTTGTGAAGGTGACCTGTGAAGACACAAAACATTGCTTGAACAAGATGGGGAAAAACAACCCATACATTGTCTGTCAAATGCTCAAGACACGCAGACTGGCTAAGAACAAGCTATGAAGTTAAGGGCTCTGGTCTAAAGATGTAAGAGCTCTGGCTATATAATTTTTGATGTTTATTACCATTGATCATCCACTTATTCTTTGTCAGTAGGCTCTTTTCTGTTATGGGGGGGGGGGTTGCAGCTGGACATAGCAATGCTTTAAATCCTCATTCATATATATATATATATATATATATATGTATATGTATATGTATATGTATATGTATATGTATATGTATGTATGTATGTATGTATGTATATGTATATAAAAATGAGGTTGTGCTATAACACTTTTGAAAAATAACAGAGAAAATTGAAGAGAGGAACATAAAAGAATTGCCTTTGCCTTTCTTACCATGAAACTCTATAGTATGTAGATAGATACTTGAGCTGACTTCATAATACACACTATTACGGGAATGGGCGAAAAACCCAGCATGAATCACAAGAAATGCAGATGTATCCCAATGACTTTTTTTCAAAAAAGCAAAAACAGAAGTGCAGCTACAAATACCAGCATTTCCAGTAACAATTCTTCCAAGATGGTTTTAAGGACCTAAATATTTCACATGCAGACCTGGACTTGGAGACTCGCTTATCCAACACAAATGGGCCGGCAGAACGTTGGATAAACAAAAATGTTGGATAATAAGGAGGGATTAGGGAAACGCCTATTAAATGTCAAATTACCTTATGATTTTACAAATTAAGCACAAAAACATCAGGTTTTGCAACAAATCGACAGAAAAAGCAGTTCCATACATGATAACGTTATGTAGTAATTACTGTATTTACGAATTTAGTATCAAAACATCGCAATGTATTGAAATGGCTGTCGATCCAGGCGGGAGGCAGACTGCGTTGGATAATACAGAACGTTGGATGAGCAAAAGTTCGATAAGCAAGACTCTATTATATAACTTTTGACAAGTTGCTCATGGGAAATAATAATGGACTCCGAGTGGTCAGGAAGAAAACCCACCCTTCCTCCACATACATGTATTTTCTAGGCATAAATTCCAAAAATATGGGCTGGTCCATGAGGTCATGAAGAGTCGGAAGCGACTGAACGAATAAACAACAATTCCAAATACCTGTGTGTTCTAGCTATTTCATCACTTTATAGGATATATCCCCCAACAACGAGGACTAACAGTCTAGTTTTTTGGGTTTTTTTCAAAAGTTCTTAGGAAACTGCATTCGAACTAGATTATATTTCTAGTTTCCCCAACATTGTATTTTGAGCACAGTGCTTTTTATTTCCTGATATTCAAAATAAATGGTAAAATTACACATGGCACTCAGACATATATGCGTATCTTATTTTTTCCCCCTAAAATCAACCTTAAATGTAGGCCCAGTTTCCAGAGCCCTCCAAGTTACTCACCTTACCATAACCCTTCCTGAGCAGGTACATCTTCCTCAGATAGACTGATACCGATCACATACCTTCCAACAATTCACAGATGAAAGCTGGGTCATACATGACCAAGCAACCTCAGTTTGGTCAATATGGCAAAAGTTATTCATGATGAAGGACATATAAGTTAGGAGAGGCTACCACCTATGCTTTTACCATTCTCTACAGCAGTGGTTCCCAACCTGTGGTCCCCCAGAAGTAAAATATGGTCTGTGGCGTCACCATTACCACACCATTGCAACAAGACCGACTGGCCTCTCAAAACCCTCTTATAGTGCCAAGGTAATGGGAATGTCAGGAGGGGAAAGGCTGACTACCCACGAAAGGTGTGACAACAAGTCTCCTGGCTGCTGCTTCTCCTCCTCCTTCCTCCCCCTGAGCAAAGCTGTTTCATGTGGCGCCTGGAAGTGGGGGTGCCTTGGTGTCTTCGTTTTTAGGCCTCTTCCTAGGATTATTTGGGGTGCTGATTCAGAAAATTGCATTGGATAGACCACATTAGCCCTTGATTATTAAATATGGTTTTCTGTGGGCGAGCAGATGGTGACTACTGGATGGCAAATGTACTGCATCAGAAACTAGAGCTGATGTGGTCTATCCAATGCAATTTTCTGAATCAGCAGCCTAAATAACCAAACTGAATCTAAAGTTAACCAAAAACTTATTCATAGCCTTTTTGGTACTAATGATGGAGAGTAGTCTCTGGTCAAGGTGGTCCCTGGTCAAAGTGGTCTCTGGTCAAAAAAAAGGTTGGGAACCACTGGTCTGCAGGAAACGTCAATATTCTGCCTCTTTCTATCTCCCTTGCTGATCACAAAGTACTTTTGAACTTAGAATTCAGTTTGCAGCAACCAAAGCAAGCTGAGTACAAAGGGGGAAAGTGGAAGGAGCAGAGAGGAACTGGGACATTTTTAAAGAAAAATTAAAAGAGGGAATTAAGCGGGACTGTTCCTCCCAAATTGGAGTAGTTGTAGGATTTGATGTCAACTTGCTTTGCCATTTGGTCCTAGTCCTTAAGGGAAAAAAGAACACAGCAAGAAGTGGTGACTGTTCCTTCACTTTTCTTCTGCCACTGTAGGTTTGCTTAGAGCAGTGGTTCCCAACCTTTTTTTTTTTTTTTTACCACTTTGACCAGGGACTACTCTCCAGCATTAGTACCAAAAGGGTTATGAGTCAGTTTTTGGTCAACTTTAAATTCGGTTCGGTTATTTGGGGTGCTGATTCAGAAATTTGCATTGGATAGACCACATCAGCTCTAGTTGCTGATACAGAAAATATGCCATGGTCAGAGACAGGGAAGGAGTGGCAGGTGGTATGAAAGGAGCAGAAATAAAATAAAACAAAGAGGAAGGAGGCTCGCAGATCAAAATTTTGTCCTAGCGACCCACTGGTGGTCCACGGCCCACAGGTTAAGAACCACTGGTTAGAGGATGCAGCAGAAAAGAATGTGAGAAGCAGGAGTAACATCAGAAAGTATTGGGAAACTTAAAATGCAGATATTACGCAATATACCTTAAGCATCTAAATAAAGCAAACAGGTCAAATTATCAAGGGAATGCAAGCACAGCAAAGAGAGGATTTCTGGTCTATGGAAATGGAAATTTCATTTGGGAAGCAGCATTCATACTGGGAAGGCAACACTCTCATTTTGGCTCAAACCGAATCTACATTCCTGTAGGATTTAACCCAGGCATGGGCAAACTTCAGCTGTTACAAATTGTGGGAGCCTGAAACACCTGGAGGGCCGAAGTCTTCCCACGCGTGATTTAACCCAAAGCTTGGAGATTTGGCACAGCCTTTATACAGATCTCAGGGAAGTCAGCCTTACGATGCTAGATTGAACTATGCAGTATTTTGCCACAAGATGGTAGTAGAGCAATGCAGACTTAATGCAGTCCTTTTGGTGTTTCTAGGCTGCATAATCTTAAAGTGCTGCACTGCACATTCATCCAGCATCTGTCTTATGCCACAAACAAAGCTGGGTGTGGTGCTGCTGGCAGAGAGGAGACAGTTTCACTTTCAAGACAATGATACCCCGAGAATTAGAAATTAGAATTCTTCACTCCAAAGCTTTGACAGTTACAAATGTGTGGGAATCAAGCACTTTGGAAATAGGCAGAAATTGATAAACCAGATTTGCTTTTTGCCTAAAGCAAGGCTGGACAAACTGCACTCCTCTTAATTGGATTGGAGCTCCCAAAAGCCGCAGCCCGCTTCGCCTACAGTGAGGATTGCTGATCCACCAGACTTTATTTATACATGATATACCGTAATAAAAAAGGAGCCCTCCGGTGGTGCAGTGGGTCAAACCACTGAGCTGCTGAACTTGCTGACTGAAAGGCCAGAGGTTCAAATCTGGGGAGCGATGTGAGCTCCTGCTGTTAACCCCAGCTTCTGCCAACCTAGCAGTTCAAAAAGATGAAAATGTGAGTAGATCAATAGGTACTGTTCCAGTGGGAAGGTAAGGTGCTCCAGGCAGTCATGCCAGCCACATGATCTTGGAAGTGTCTACAGATAACGCTGGCTCTTTCTAAATGGAGATGAGTACCAACCCTCAGAGTTGGACACGACTGGACTTAGTCAGGGGAAAACTTTTTACCTATCATAATAAAATATTCCCTGATATAGATCCTGAACTCTTCCTCTTTGCTATGTGTAGACAAAGCATCACTATTCAGAATTTGAAAGACTGCAAGTACAACCATTCCAAAACATTTGTGGTTAAGGCTAATAAGACCTGCAGTCCAAGAAGATTGCGTTTTGCCCAGCCCTGGTATAGCTATGTAACAAAATTTGAAAAATGTTCTGTTCTTGGTTTGAAAGTGTTATATCCTGTTTAACTGTGAAGTACTTACTTTGAAAGTAGTTGTTATACTCCAGAATTTTCATTTTCTGTGGCTGCCACAAACTACGTTGACTTGGTTGAGACTCGGTTAGATATTCATTGTAAAACTATAGCAAAATATGTTCCAGGATGTCCCAAAAAACAAAGGTTTTGTAGTTTAATAACCCTTTTCCACATTTTTATGATAGAATGAATTAGGAAATGATATTTATAATCTAGGAGCAAAATTCATGTTGTATAGTGTTATAAAGTTTTAGGATTATGGAATCGTAGAGTAGGAAGGGGCCACAAGGGCTGCCTGGTCCAACTCCTTGCCACTGCTGAACGATATCCATTCAACTGCTTTCAAGGCAGGTGTCACCCACCCTATATTTGTGCATTCAATTATTTTCCTACCTAAATGTACTATCTTACATTTATGCCTGTTGAAATTCATTTTGTTAGCCTTGGAGGCCATCTAGTCTCACCCCCAGCCTAGCATCAACTGACAATGCAAATTGTTGCTACAGGAACGTTTCTCCACCTGGGGATCGGGACCCCGGGGGGTCACGAGGGAGGTGTCAGAGGGGTAGCCAAAGATCATCAGAAAACACAGCATTTTCTGTTGCTCATGAGAGTTCTGTGTGAGAAGTTTGGCCCAATTC